TTAGTTTTCCTTCTTCTGAGAAGTCTTGATCTCCCCTTCGTCCCTGAAGGATGTTTTCACTGCTTATAGGCTTGTGGGTTAACAGTTCTTTTCTCTCTGCACATGAAGAATATTGTGCTGCTTCCTTTGCTCCTCCCTGGTTTCTGATGAGAAATCTGTCATTCAAATGTTTCTTTCTCCTACAGGTTTTGTTTTTCTCTGGCTACTTTCAGGAGTTGTTCTTTGCCTTTAGTTTTCAAAGTTTAATTATGCTGTGTCTTGGCAAGAATTTCTTTGGGTTTATCCTGTGTGGTGTTCACTCAGCTTCTCGAATTGAGAAGTTTGTGTCTCTTGCCACATTTGGTCAGTTTCAGCCATTCCTTCTTTGAGCACTTTTTCAGCCCTGCCCCGTTCTCCTCTCCTAAGATTCTTATGACATCAATGTTAGATCTTTGTGAAGCCGTGCAGGTCACTGAGTCTCTCCTCTGTCTCCTCCATTTTACTGTTGAGCATATCCACTGAGCCTTTTATTTTGGTCATTGTATTTTTCAGTTCTAAAATTTCCATTTCATTCTTCTTTATATCTTCTTTTTCTTCGCTCAGACAGTATTTCTTTGATGATGTTTCTCTTCTTTCATTTTTTTCCAAGTGTGTTTGTAATTGCTTATCGAAGCATTTTTATCATGGTTGCTTTAAAATCTTTGTCAGAGAATTCTAACATCTCTGTCTTCTCAGTTTTGGCATATATTGACTGTCTTTTAAAATTCTTCTTGGGCTCTTCCTAGTTCTTGGTATAATGAGTGATTTTTGTTGAAATCTGGACGGTTGGGTATTATGTTCTGAGCCTCTAGATCTTATTTAAAGCATGGTTGTAGCCAGCTGTCTGTGACACTGCTTTCACCAGGGTGGGCCGGGTGCGCACCATCTCATTATTGCCAGGTGGAGGTGGAAGCCTAGGCTCCTCACTTGGCCTCTCTTGAGCAAGCTGAGGGGGTAGCTTCTCATTACTGCTGGGTAGAGGTGTGTGCTGTGGCTCTCCACGTGGACTGACACTGTGATGGGTGTGGCCTCATGGCTGCTGGGCTGTGATAAAAGTCCTGACTCTCCACTGGACCTCCTCTGGTACCACTCCAGCAGGTAGGCAAAGCTGGAGGGCTAGGCTCTCCACATGGTCTCCACTGCCACCATGACCATGAGGGAGGGCGAACTTCGTTGTCAGCTGAGGGGATGAAGTCTAGCCTCTCTACTTGGCTTTCTCTGACATCAGCCAACTGGGGTATTGGAGCACTTTGTAGCACCCTCACATGAGTAGAAGTCTAGGCTCCCTACTTGGCCTTGGTTGGAGTGGTGGGGCCTCTGTTTTTTTGTGGTGTTTGGCAGGAGTAGAATGATTATGGTCTAAAAGTTTTTTGTCTTACTAGTTTTCCCCTCTTCTCATTCTTTGACTAGAGAGAGCTGACTTTTGCTGGCGCTTTCTTTTGTCTGTGCCTGTTGGCGTTTCCAGGTCGTCAGCTTCTTCAGATCTAAGTCTGGGATGTATGAGGCAAGAAGAAAACCCGGGGAGATCTCCACCATGTCGGTCCTGAGGTCCCGAGTCCCCAGCTGATATGCCTTCACCTCTCCACCTAGTCTTCTAATTTTTGTTCTATATGTTACGTTCAGTTTTTAGTTGTATTTATCAGGAGGAATAGGAAAAAGTATTTCTACTCCTCTTCCCAGAAGTGGAAGTTGCACTTTTTTTTTTTAAAGTTAACAATAGGTCTTAGGGATTACTTCATATTAGTACATAAATTGCATACCTAATCCTTTGTTTAAATTATGCATTGTATTTCATTTTATGAATGTACCGTAAATTTTTTAACCAGTCCCCTACTTATAGACATTTAGGTAGTTTTCAGTCTTTTGTTATTGTAAATAATGCTTCAGTGAATAACATCATATATGTGTATCACTTTGCATGTGCACCAGTATAGCTAAAAGATAAGGTCCTATCTTATTATCCATATCTTCTTTTTTTTTAAAATTTTATTTATTTATTTATTTTGACGAAGATTAGCCCTGAGCTAACTACTGCCAATCTTCCTCTTTTTGCTGAGGAAGACTGGTCCTGAGCTAACATCCGTGCCCATCTTCCTCTATTTTATACATGGGACGCCTACTACAGCATGGCTTTTGCCAAGTGGTGCCATATCCGCACCCAGGGTCCGAACCGGCGAACCCCGGGCTGCTGAGAAGCGGAACATGCGCACTTAACCGCTGCGCCACCGGGCTGGCCCCTATTCATATCTTCTTAGGGAGTTATGTTTTCCTTTGATAGAAGAGTCATTATCTCCTAAAGGAAATGAAAGTCTTTCATTTTAGACAGATCTCATTGTGAGAAAGTCACTTCTCTGTGATGTGTACCTATATTTACCTTCCTACAACTTCCCTCATTGATTCTGGCTCTGAATGGGGATGAAGATAGGACAGATGCAGCCCCTCTTCCTTACGACAACCCTCAGATATTCCAGGATGAGTGTCTCTGACACCTGCATCTTCTGTTCTCCAGCCTGCACGGTTTGAGCCATTGTAGCCGTCTTTCCTATGGCGTGGTTTCCAGCTGTCCTGAGGGCGGCCTGGTTTGTTGGAGATAGCTTTGCACTTGGACGCCTAGAGGGGAACAGAATACTGTCCTCCATCTGTGGGCTAATGGCTGCTATAGAACAGGGCATTGACAGAAAACATTTGGGACAGCCCTGTCACAGTCTGAATTAGATTCCCAGAGACTGTTGTAGTGCCTTCCCAGCATGGAGTAGCTAGTATTTCTTGACTGAATGAATGCACTTATAAACCAACGAATTAATGAATACTGAGCTTACTCTTGACTTAAATCCCCAATTTGGTTCACATGTACTTCTGCTTCTACACTTGTATGGTTGATTTGGGGGACATAAGGCAGGACTTTACATTTGTCCTTGTTAAGCTTTATGTCACTAGAGCTATCTAGTTTTCCAGCATTTTCAGATCATTTTGGATACTAATTCTGTCCTTTCATGTATTGTCTCTCCCTCTCAACACATGGCATCTGTAGATTTTTCCTGTGTGCCATCAGGATACTCATCTGAATATTTAAATGGGCTATGTTTTGTTCATATTCCTATAAAATATTCATAAGATCTTAAAAAAAGGTAACTTCCTGGAAGTAGTTTCTGGGCCGAACGGTATGTGTATTTACATTTTGATAGATGGTGCTATATGGCCTTCCATAGAGATTGATTGGCAGTCGGAATCACCCTGAGTTTTTTCTCTATAGGCAGGATTCCTGCTCACATGAAACTCGTAGAGCCCAAAGGTTATTTGAAGTACTGCATCTCAGTATGCACCTCGGGTGTTATCTGATGGGATCTTCCAGCATTTCTGGAACAGTTTTTCATATAAAATTGTCTAAAATATAATGAAAGTATTTATTTCGATCAGTGATCTTGCCTTACAGAGATTTCTGGATAGTTGCTCTGTATACTATCTTGGTATCAGGTTTTATAAGATCTCATTCTACCCAAGTAAACGTATGTTTTCTTCAGTAGATTTCTCTATGGATATTAAATTCTCATTTGCACCTGAATTATGCTCTTGTGGCTAATAATGTTAAGCAGTATATCAATTAAGCAGTTTTTCTCAATTTAAATTTTTCTCAATTCATATTCACAGACATTTCTTGTGGTTTGATTGTTCTTCTCTAGTTTATTGTTATGCTTTCTAACCCAAGATTCTCCAAGGGGGTGTTCTTTTTTGATTAAACCAGCAAGAGTGACGGGTGAGCTGCTGCTTTTATCATTTTGAGTGCAGTCCTGCTGGGTATATATAATGGGTACTTTTGATGTAGTTCCTTTCACTCAACACTGTCTGTGTTGTGTATACCAGTAGTTTATTCTTTTTTATGGCTGTGTAGTATTCTGTTGTATGACCAGATCATAACTTGTTTATCCATTTTCTCAGAGAATGGATTGTTGCAGCTTTTGGTTATCATGAATAAGTTTTTGTGCATGCCATTTGGTGGACATATCATACTGTCTTTTTTAATATCTCTTAATCTCACAAAATTCTCTGATGAATTTATTCCTTGTCCTGTTTACTTTCCCATACGTACCTTTTCCTGAGATGGTAACCTCTTAAAATTCGTTCAAAGTAGAAGGCTTTGGTTTTGGATCATGAACATAGTTGTGACAAAGAAACAAGACGTATTTGGTGTATAATTGCTGGAGGGCAAGATAGATGTGGCATGTGACCCTTTATCTGCATAGAATTCTGTAGGAATGTCCTGTTCCTCAAAATTGATATTTGACCCCCTCTCAGATGAAGTCTTTGGCAGAAGATAACCACTGTTTCCAACTCCAGTGCCCTCCATATTCCCAATCTTTGGAGCCCTCATCTAGCATCACCAGCAGCTCCGTCACAACTGGCTCATCCCTTTGGCCCTCTGGTACTGCCAGGCTGCCTTAGTGAAGATCGTTTGCTGCCTTTTTTATAATCACCACTAACTCTATAATGTATATAGATTATAGTGTGTTTGTGAATATCTTTTTAAAATGGACATACATGCAATTAATTTCAGTTAATGGTGGAAATTAGTTTTCTTTAGTCAGTTTACATGCTGTTATTTGGAAACTTTTACCCTTCACAGTAACTCTCATATATGACATTTGGAGATATTTGAATGGTAACATCACAAAAGTATTAATCAACAGCTTTTTCTTTACTATATCACTTGACTGAAATCATGGTTATTCAGTATAATTTTTGAATTAAAATAATCCATTTGATCATATTCTGAAATGTTTAAGATAGAGTATAACAATGCAATCCCCTCTCCTTCCAACCATGGAAAAAAGTTACCAAGCATCACTTATATATAATTAATTCAGTATTATTTCCTTTTTTTTTTTTAAATGGCCTTTTCCTTGTGTTTAAATATAAACATTTCCTATTTTTCTTTCTGTTCTCAAAAATCCACTGTGGGTGATACTGTTTTTGCTGATACGCAGATTTATCAGGTATGGTTCTTAAGTGTCGTGTTGGACTCCACAGATGTGTTGTTGAACTTTCCAGGGGAAAAACTTTCCAGACGGACTTTTCTACATTTACTTAATTAGTATTTGTGAATATCTTATGAAAATTGCTGGCCTTTCAGGTTTAGAGTGGTCTTTGTATCAAAAACAAGTTTGCCAAATTTATTATACCTACATTTCAAAAAGAAGTTTTGAGTGTTTTCCTCAAAAATGTTATTGATATTTGTCTCTGGCTTTCTGCATTGTTAATCTGTGCATGATTCTCTGTGTTTTTCCTATTTATATGTATATGTGTTCGTATACACATTGGCGTTATTCTTAACATATGTATATTTTTAAAAACTGATGCATATTCCTAACAAGAAGTTTTTCCAAACTGTGTTGCATGAAATACATTATTCTGAGATGCTAAGTAGAGTGGCACAAAAAATATTGTCAAATCAGTTGACTGTATCTCTTTCTGAGAGGTTCACAGTGCGCATCATTGTATTAAAGGTTCTGGTGGTATGCAGTAAGGAAGTCTGTTTATCTTTGTTGTTCTCAGCATCTTCTAGAAATAGTTGAGTGTGGAACGCTTGCTAACACACACAGGTGTTCTGGGATACCAATTTGGGAAATCTCGCAAAAAACTGAGTAAGGGTTTCTTTGTAGTGTTTTAATACATCAAATAAAATTGACTAAAAGTGATTAAATTTTCAAGAAGTTAAAACATTTAGCTGAATTGTATTTGGGGACTGTATTTTCTTGTAGAAATTACATTTTGGAGTACAGCATTGATTTTTTTTTTCAGTATTATCTCTTTCGGTACTTTGGATGGCTTTTGAGAATCTGTAAAACTACTCCAGAAATGCTGCTTTTTTGTTGGAAAGAGATTCTTTGTTGTTGTTGTTGTTGTCGTCGTCATGGATTGCTCGATTGTTTCTCTTCCATGAGAATTTGCCCATCTTCAAAAACATGTTTGCTGTTTCAGATAGCGTGACACAGGAAAGGAGGCCTCCTAAACTTGCCTTTACATCAAGAGGTGTTGGGGACAAGGGTTCATCCAGTCATAATAAACCAAAGGCTACAGGTATGGACTAATAGAATATAATTCTTATTTATGTAAATCTGATTTGCCACGGCATTGAAAAATTGTTAAAAGGTATTACTCCTTAATGTATATGTTAACTGTCTTCTTTCAAACATTTTTAGTAGTTTACTAAAAATTTTTTATAGATGCTGTTGCTTAAGCCAAAAGTTCCCAACCTTTTTCAGTTGATGAAGTTTCCCGTGAGGTCCTGTCTCTTTTCCTGTCCATATCCAGCTGCTTTTTGGAACCCCCTACCTGTAACATTTGTATACATAGAGTTGCAACTGTACAAAATAATCATATATGGATAATTTTGTATAGGATAAAGTATACTAGAGATTAATTATGTGGATTTCGCTAACTAGATGTGGTGCAAATTGAATTCCACATTGTTAAGCAAGAATTTTTGTCTTTCTTCCAGAAACCTCCTTCACAACACATGTAGAGTTCTTAGCTCGTTTTTTTTTTTTAGCGTCCACGTATTTCGTAAATTTATAGGGTGGTAGTTATACAAGCTGAACAGCTCATTTAAAAAACTAAGAATTTTTGTTAGCTCAAATGTGGGTTAGGGGAAGAATATTTTTTCTTCAATTATCTAGTGAACAAAGCTAATTTCAGCTTGTTTGAAAGGAAATTGTTCTTTAAGAGCTATTTTATGTGACTTTGGACCCTGCCGCACTTAGAATTAAAGGGGATATAAAGGTAATAGTATTTTTATGTTCACCTATAGATCTAGATAGGATAGCTGAAACTTGCTGCTGTCACGGAAATAGAAATAGCCCGAAGATTTTCTTAGGACACGCGTGTTACTTGTGTTGTAGCAGATCTTACTTATTGGTGTAAAGTATAGAACTATCTGCTTTAAATTGGAAAAAAAAGTCGGATTTTGTATGGGTTCTGGAGACCTGGTGCACTGTTCTCAACTGTGGCGTTTCCTCCTCATACTGAGGCTGGGTAATGTCTTGAAATGTCTGTGACATACCTACACTAACTCTTTCTTATATTTAATAAATCTAATATATAAGAAATAATACTGCTTCACTTTTTCAAAGACATGAGGAAATTAAGCAAGGAATTTGATGACCAACACTTCCAAAACGTTTAAATCTTTTAAAATTTTAAACTTAAACTTTTAAACTTAAATCTTTTAAACTTAATTTGTGCACTGATTGTAAACAACATGTGAAGATTACCTTCTTCTGAAAGCAGCTGTTTTAAAATAATAGATTACATTTGTGAACCAACAGATTCATCAACTGAAATTGGGGAATGGTGATTCTGACGTTTGGAAATAAGCATAGTACCTGAAATGATTTTTTCAAGCAGTTTGTTTAAAAAAAAAAAAAGAGCTTTTCCTAACTTACTCCTGTTCCCCTCTTATCTTGACTCTTGGGTGGAAGACTCTTTTTGACGTTGCCAAAATGGTGACAAAAGTTTTAAAAGCTGAAGACACTAAAATTAAATTGCGTTTGTATACATCTGATGGTTGCGTAAATAGTTTTTAACATGATATGCATATTAATTTCTCTTATGGAAAAACTTCAGACTATATTGACTTTATTTTTAAAAGGAACTTTTCTTGTTCCATAGGATCTACCTCAGACCCTGGAAATAGAAACAGATCTGAATTGTTTTATACCTTAAATGGGTCTTCTGTTGACTCACAACCACAATCCAAATCAAAAAATACCTGGTACATTGATGAAGGTAATCTGTAATTTTAGTGTTCTTTATAATGATCCTCTCCTTTTAACTCATCAGAAAAAAATAGTTTTTTCACCAGTATATATAGCTTTTGGAAACAAAATGAGTAGAGCATTCTTTGTTAATATTGCTGAACTAAAATATTGTACACAACTTGAACTGCACTGCTGTTAAGATTAATAAAACATTTAGAAAATGTATTAGCAGCTTGTTCTCTTCCCTTCACTGATCTGTTTAGGGTAGATCTCTAGAATCAACTGAATCATTTAAAGACTTTTCTGTCTGGGTCTTTGTTGATCTTTAAAGCGCTCACTTTTTTTTTTTTTTTTAATTAAGATTATGATAGTTTACAACCTTGTGAAATTTCAGTTGTATATTATCAGTAGTCACATTGTAGGTGCACCACTTCACCATTTGTGCCCTCCCCCCCTTTTCCCTGGTAACCACCGATCAGTTCTCTTTGTCTATATGTTAACTTCCACCTATGAGTGGAATCATACAGAGTTCGTCTTTCTCTGTCTGGCTTATTTCACTCAAGATAATACCCTAAAGGTCTATCCATGTTGTTGTGAATGGGACGATCTTGTCCTTTTTTATGGCTGAGTAGTATTCCATTGTATATATATATACCATATCTTCTTTATCCAATCATCAGTTAAAGCACTCACTTTTAAAACTCTACCTTCCCTTGGTTCTGGGACATCATTTTCTTCTGGTTTGTTCTTTTCTTTGTTCATCCAGTCAACAAATCTTTATCAAGTACTTACTATGTGCCAGGCATTCTTCTAGGCACCGAGGTCACAATGGTGAGAAAAAATAGACATGGTCATGTCCTTTCTGAGTTTATGATAGACTTTAATAAAGAATCACAGACACACATGCAGAACTGCAGTTGTGTTGAGTGCAGAGAAGGCACATGATGCTCTGAGAGTATATTAAAGGGTATTTACTTAGGGGGCTCAGGGATGTTTCTCTGAGGAAGTGGCATGAGCTTAGATTTACCGAGGAGTGGTAGGCACCAGTGAAAGGGACAGAAGAGCCTTTGTAGGCAGAGGGAATAACACAAAAGCCTCCTGGGAAAATGGAGCCTGGTGTTTCAAGGACTAAGAAGAGCTGGAGAAGTTAGAACAGAGAGAGGTATAACATTTTATGAGATGAGAATGGAAAGGCAAACAGGGCCAGGCCATGTGGAGCCTGGTGTGCCCTGTTAAAAGGAAATGGGAAGCCACTGAAGGATTTTCAGCAAAAGGTGACATGACCAAGTTTGTCTTTTGAAAAGATCATTCTGGCTGCAGAGTAGACAAGGGTTGAAGCAGGGACTGTGTGAATGCAAGAACACCATTGAAGGCTGTTGGAAGGCTCAGTCATAGATTGTAGCAGCTGGGACTAGACTTGTTGGGGAAGAGATGGGGAGAAGCTGATGGCTGTAAGAGATTTTTAGGAAGTAAATGGGTAGAACTTACAGAATGGAAGTGAGAGCTGGGGAGGAAAGAAATGTCAGTGATGACTCCTGGTTTTCTGGCTTGCGTACTTAAATGACTATGGAGGAAGGTAATGAATTTGACTTTGAATATGTTGAGTTTGGGGGGCTTTTTAAACTTCCTAGAGCTGATTTGTCAAGTAGACAGTTGTATATACAGCTCTGGAGCTTAGAAGAGAGATAAGAGCTGGAGAAACAAATTGGTAGATTGCCCTCACATATTTGGTGATTAAAGTCTGTGAATAATACTACCCGAAGAGAGAGTGGGGATGGAGGGTGTGGGTTAAGACTGAGCCTTGAGGAACTTAAGGGCTGGGAGGAGGAGCAGTCTTCAAAGGAGACAGAGAAAAAATGACCAAAGGGATGTGGGGAAAACTAGTAGGTTGTCGGAGTGTTGGGTCCAATAGTGGATGGACAGCACTGATGAATGTTCCTGAGAAGGCATAAGATGAAGACCACACAAATACCTCTTGGATTTAGTCAATGGAAGTTATCAGTGACCTTAGTGAGTTGCTTTTATGTAGCAAGGAAATGGAGAAGTGAGTCCAGTTGCCTGAAATAGAAGCTTGGGCTTCATCCTGGACTTCCTCTGTTTCTCTCGTTAGTCACATCCAGTTGTCACCAAGTCCTCTGGATTTCCTCCTTTTCCACATCACTAGAATCTTCCCCCTTTTCTTTATTTCTGCCTTAGTTCAGACCCTTTCTTTGTTGCTGTCTGGACTAATACAGAGACCTTCTAATTGGTTTGTCTGCCTCAGTCTTGCGTCTTTTAAATTTGTTCTGAACGATAGCAGCCATCATCATCATTGACCTCTTCACCATCACTGCAGCTGACATTTCTTTAATACTTACTCCATGCTAGGCATTGTGCTAGGCACTTTATATGCATTATTTTATCCTCATAACAACCTTATAAAGTAGATATTTTTACTTTCTCTGTTGTCACAGTGGTTAAACAACTTGCTCAGGGTCACACAGCTGGTAATAGTGATGCCAGGATTCCAGCTCAGATCTCTTTGACACCAGAGCTCATGCTTTTGATCACCACACTGTGTTTCTCTTCACATTACTCTCCGAGTGATTTTTCTGAAGATATATGTGTTCATGTCTCTCCTTCGCTTAATATCTATTGATGTTTCCCTAGCCCTTGATGATAAAAGTCCAGATTCCTTACTTTGGCCTGTTGGACTCTTTCTGGCTGACCTCTTACTCATCTGTGTTGTTTCCCTTGCAATCCTGCTCCAGGCATGCTGGACCAGGACCTTTTTTGAAACGGGCTGTGCTTTCTCTTTTCTTGGCGCATGTTGTTTCTGCTGCCTGGAAAACCTTTTTCCTGTTCCTCCTCCTTCATGATCTGGTTTACTTCTGTCCATCTGTTAAATCTCAGCTTGAGCATTAGTTTTTCCTGAATGCCTTTCCTTTCCTCTCCCACTTCTCCCAGATTAGGTGAAGTGTCATCGTAACTGTTTTGTTTACTTGTCTGTCTCTTCTGCCAGACTGTGAGTTCCTAGTGCCTAGCACAGGGCTTGGCATACCCCAGACTGAATAATTGTGTGCAAATTAAGTGAACAAAAGAATTTAAGAGTACTCTAGAACTCTATAATGACTTTTTAGCTGTCATATGGGCTTAGTTATAGTATCCATCCACAGATGTTACAGTACAAGTCTACTGTTACATATATGAGGTCAGATACTCACATGGGAAATTACTAGAGTGAACTCTCTTTGATTTTCTCTTCTCCATGCCTTCATTTCTGCTTGGGTAGGTGTTGTGAAGATAGGCAGTCAGGGCCTTTGATCCCAAGAAGTCTTGCTAGGCACAGAGCAGGAAGCTTATTTAAGTGATGCTTCTCCAGGAGGTCCTGTCTCCTGATAGACTACTTTCATTAAGATTTGGCCCATATGTTAGCAGTTAGCAATTTTCTAAAAATTCTTCTGGAGAGTTCTGAAGCACAAAGGACAGGCAGGTTCCTTTGGTGAGTCACCGCCCTGCTGGCCTCTAGATGTGTGTAGGGACTGTCCAGGGCGGTTATGGTACAGCCCCACTCTCTTCCCCTGTAGTTACTGGCAGATATGCTAATGCTTTTCCTATGTGCTGATTTCTTTCCAAGGAAAGGGAACTAGTAAAACCATAGTTTTTTCATAATCTAGGTAACATTAATTCTTCAAATTTCTATAATTTTATCATTCTTAGACATTTTCTGTATTGTGGTAGAATATTCCTAACTTCTTGATTCTACTAGAGTCTGGTCTAACGTGTAATTTCATGTAGGAATGTTGGTCATAAAGACCTAGATGGGACATATAAAGTAAAGAAATTTGTATGGAGTAGGCATTCATCCTTAAAGTAAAAACAAAAGTAATTTAGGTGTAAAAGAGCATTGTTTCTGTACTTAATTTCACTTACAGTTTTAAAAGAATTTTCTCTGTAACATTTGATTCATATATTCACTTTTTTTTCTTTACAAATATTGAGTATTTTCTTGTGTTAGTGGGTATACAAAGTGCTATGGATTCAAGCATGGAAAAGATTAACAAAAATCCTGTTCTTTTTTTTTTTTTTTTTCCTGAGGAAGATTCATCCTGAGCTAACATCCATTGCCAATCTTCCTCTTTTTGCTTGAGGAAGATTAGCCCTGAGCTAACATCTGTGCCAGTCTTCTTCTGCTTTGTAGGTGGGTTGCTGCCACAGTCTGGCTTGATGAGTGGTGTAGATCTGCGCCTGGGTGCTGAACCCATGAACCTGGGCCGAAGTGGAACTTTAACCACTTGGCCGTGGGTCTGGCCCCCTGAAATCCGATCTTATGGAGCTTATATTCTAGTTGGTATGACAGACAGTAAATGTATAGATGGACAAGATAATAATTGCTTGTGACATATGCGATGAAGGAAATGAACAAGGTGATTAGTGACTGGTAGGAAGCAGCTACCATAGAGGGGTTTAGAAAATACTCTTTGAGGAAAGCGTATTTGGGGTTGAGGTCTGGATCGTGAGAATGAACCTGGGAAGAGCATTCCAGGCAGAGGAAATAGTAAGGGCAAAGGCCCTGAGGTGAGAAAGTGCATTTGAGGAACAGGAAGTAGGCCAGAGTGGCTACAGCATAGTAAGCAAAGAAACGAGGTATGTGAAATGAGTTTGGATATGTAGATAGGAGCTACATCATCTAGGACCTTATAGGTCTTGGTAAGAAATTAAGTATTTATTGTAAGAATTCTGGAAAGACATAAAAAGGTTTTAAATAGGGGAGTGATGTGAGATCTTTAAATTTTAAAAATATCTCCCTTAGTTGTTTTATGGTGAATAGATTGGAGAGGAGCAAGAAGGGGACAGAGAAGCCAGGTGACAGACGGGTGACAGGGTGAAAGGCGCTGGCGGCTTGGATTAGGAGATGACGGCAGAGGCGAGGAGAAGTACACGAATTCGAGAAATATTTTGCAGATAGAACCAACAGAACTTGCTTTATGGATTTGGGTTTGGGGTTGGGAGTTGAGAATTTCGGAAAGAAAAGAATAACTTTTAAAAATCTTAGATTAAATATCACTACCGAAGAGTCTTAACTGGGTAAGTTATAAAGAACAATGAGGTATATAGTACAATGAACACCTATGTAGTCTCTACTCACTTTAAGAAAAAACATTATCATTACCTTTGAAATCCCCTCAGCCCCTCTTCCTAGTGCCATTCTCTTCATTCTATCCTCTGAGCTACCATCATCTTTAATTTAGTGTTTATTGTTCTCTTGCTTTTCATTGCATAGTTAGTTCTGCGTGTTTTTGAGCTTTATATACAAAGAATCAGATGTGTGCGTGCTATGTAACAGCCACCCCTGACATTGTTCCTAAGATTCATCCAAGGTGTAGAATGTGATTACAGTTTATTCATTTTCATTGCTGTAGAGTAAATGGAATTCTATTGCATTCCATTTCATCGCTGTGAAATATATGCATATACCACGATGTAATTATCCATTCGACCATTGATGGATATTTGAATTGTTTTTATTTTCCTGCTATTATTAACAGCTTTGCTCTTAACATTCTTACACATGTGTAGGGTATATAAGTAGGAGTGGGATTACTGGGTCATGGGATATGCACATTTTCCTTTACTATATAATGCTAAATTGTTTCCCAAGACAGTTAACCCAGGTTACATGCCCATCGGCACTGTGTAAGGGTGTTGTTTGCTCCTCATCCTCACCAACAGTTAATGTGTTAAGACCTCTAGCTTTTGAAATGTTATCTCATGTTGGTTTTGACTTTCTTTTATCTATTTACTACTAGTGTGGATAAGAGTCTTTTCATTGATTTGTTGGTGATTTGGGTTTATTCTTCTGTACGTTGCCCTTCCAGTACTTGGTCCATTTTTTCTAGTTTGATTTTTTTGGTCTCTTTCTTATTGACTTCTAGACCTTTTTAAAATCTAATCCTTTGTCAGATATACTTTGCAAGTATTTTCTCGTTGATTGTAGCTCATAGTTTCACTCTCCCTATGATGCCTTTTAATGAACAAGTAACTTAATTTTAATGTGGTCATGTTTGTCAGTCTTTTCCTTTATGGTTTGTGAATGTGTGTTTAAGAGATTTCCCTCTACCCTCAAGTTGTAAAGAACATTCTTCTACACTGTCTTCCAACAGTTTATAGTTTTGCCTTTCACATTTGTCTTTAAGCCACCTCGAAATTATTTTTGTGTAGAGTCTGAGGTAGGAATCCAATTTAATTTTTTAAAAAATACAGATGGTTGGTTATCTCAACAGTGTGTATTAAGGAGTTCATTCCTTCCCGACAGAGCTGCAGTGCCGACCTGGCAAGTGTGTCAGTCACTTTAAGGAAACAGCTCTGGCTCTGCTTCTCTTTGTTCTATGTTTGTTTTCGCTTCATTAACTTCCGGTTTTGTATTTATTCTCTCTCTTGATTTCTTTTTGGGAAGCTCTTCTGTTCTGACTTCTTAAGTTGTATGTGGAGTTCATTAATATTACCTTTTTTTCCCTAAAATAAACTATTAAGTCTATAAATTTCCTTTATCAAAATAAATTTAGCTGTGTTCCACAAGTGTTCATTCTTTCTTTCTCTTTTTCCTTTATTTTTAAAACTTACATTGTCATTTCTTCTTTGATTCATTAGTTGTTTAGAAGCATCTTTCATAAGTTTTTGGTATTGGTTTCTAACTTAATTGTATTATGGACAAAGAATATAACCTATATGGTACCAATCAATAATAGATTTTTTTGGTTTGAACAGTTGAGTGCCATTTACTGAGGTGGATAAATTTGGAGGTGGGGAGGAGAATCAAGAACACTGTTGTGGAGGTATTAAGTTTGTGATGCTTTCGAGAATCCTACTGCAGAGCTCAAGAAGGCAGTTAGACTAGATAGATATATTAATTTTTAGCGATGTAAGGCATATTTAATATTCTTGAATAAATTTCTCTAATTAAGAATGATTTTTTATAGTTGCTGAAGACCCTGCAAAATCGCTTACAGAGATATCTCCAGACTTTGGCCATGCGTCACCACCACTGCAGCCTCCTTCCATGAACTCGTTATCCAGTGAGAACAGATTTCACTCTTTACCGTTCAGTCTGACGAAGATGCCCAACACGAATGGAAGTATTGGCCACAGTCCGCTGTCTCTGTCAGTTCAGTCTGTGATGGGAGAGCTAAACAATGCACCTGTCCAGGAGAGTCCCCCACTGGCCGTGTCTTCTGGGAACTCACATGGTCTGGAAGTGGGCTCACTGGCTGAAGTTAAAGAGAACCCTCCTTTCTATGGGGTCATCCGTTGGATTGGTCAGCCACCAGGACTCAATGAAGTACTAGCTGGGCTGGAACTGGTAATTTCATTTGACCGAAAACTTGCAATTCTCTCTCTGGGTTTTGTGCAGGTTTTTCTCTACTATATGCTTTTGGGCAAAGTGTTATATTTGTCAAAAAAGCCATCACTGGAGAAAAAATTTATTATCATGTTGCTCAACTTCCTTTGCCACCCATTAAACATCTCACCCACTTGTTCTAATGTTAGTTGATCTTTGTTCAAGGAGTGAAAGTAGATTTTTAGGCTAAATGTTTAGGCTCATTATATTAAACAGAATACTGGAAGAAAACAAATCTGTTATCAGCTTTTCTTTTTCTTTCTCAGCCTCTCTCCCTCAGCCTGTTCCAATATTCATATGGGCTTTAAGATCAATCGCCGTTTTTAGAGATCTTTTGAGATCTTTGGTATGGGGAAACATTTTCCCTTTGGAGATTAGGAAAGCGTGTTGTCTGGCATTCCATAATCAGGAAAGGAGAATTTGAGTACATTTAGCTTTTATTTAAATTTAGCTCTTGGTTTTTTTTATTTGTTTGCATGCTAGTGAATGCTGTTTTTCTCTTTGGGTTGTTAACATAAATAGCCTCCCCCCCCCCCGCCCCTAGTTTTGAAACTCGTGGAAATGGTGCAGAGAGTTAGTTAAAGGGAAGTTTAAGTGTGCATCCTGAGAGGAAGCACAGCGAGGACTTCATGCTGGAGAAGCAAATTAATTCGTAAATCGTTAGCTGTGGGCTGCAGCACCGATCAGTCAGCTCATTTTCCAGATGGAGTTCTCAGGACAGGCGAATTCTGAGAAAGGGTGAACTGGGAACAAATCTTAGAAACCTTAGTTCTTTGTGTACCGTCTTTGCAGTGTGCAGAATGACGCTTATGGAAGCATTTCGTTTTCAGGAAGACGAATGTGCAGGCTGTACAGACGGGACCTTCCGGGGCACTCGGTACTTCACCTGTGCCCTGAAGAAGGCGCTGTTCGTTAAGCTGAAGAGCTGCAGGCCCGACTCCCGCTTCGCGTCCCTGCAGCCGGTCTCCAATCAGATCGAGCGCTGTAACTCGCTAGGTATCTGGGCGCTTCTCACTTCTCCAGCAGGCTGGCATCACTCTAATTCTCGTCTCACGCCATTTTACAGCAGATGGCAGTGACGCAGTTTAAACATGTTTCCTGCCAATGTTCATCAAGCTTTTAAATTAGTAAAAATTGTTATTTGGTGTATAACAAAGTTACACTTACCCTAAGAGGAGACATTTAAAAAAAGTATTAGGAGAGTGTGTTCGAGACTTAAAAAGTGAAAAATACTGGGATTTCTTCTTCTCTTCCTGTTGATGCCGACGTTTAATGTTCAGCAGCATGGGAAGCAGAAGTTGGAATTTGGCCTTTGCTTGGCACTGATCCCCCCTCAGTGTGCTGCTCAAGTACGTCAGTGAGCGTGTCTTCTCCAGGAGGCAGGACTCTTATAGGTGGCTCTACCGCGATTGACGAGGGACAGCTCTCCCCATCACGGGTAGTAGGTGGCAGTTTCCTGATGCTGTCCCTTTCTGGTTGTGATTAATGATGGTGAAGCATCCTGAGGGTTAAGCAGGTATGCATAGGAAAGCCATCTTTAAGGAAAACATTTTTCATTACAGTTGAAATAGTACTTTAGAATTTTTTGTTTTCTTTTCCAACTTGAAAGTGAAACATCTTCAGACAAATGATAGAGTATTTGGGGAACAAAATATTTTACTTGGCAGATGCTTCTTACACATTACTTAATACTCTAAAATGTTTTTTAAATTGTGGAGGAGGTGAGGTTGAAAATGAACAGTAGCATTTTTTACAAGCCAAGCTGAATAACAATTAACCAAAACCTACTTTTAACTTAGTTCTAAGTTGAGAAACAAATTTTGCATCAAAATACAAAAATACACTTTTAAAATGCAGAAATATATATGGGAATACATACTGTAGTAGTTGGAAAGAATTCTTTTCGTTTTCATTTTTATCTTTTCAGCATTTGGCGGCTACTTAAGTGAAGTAGTAGAAGAAAATACTCCACCAAAGATGGAAAAAGAGGGCTTAGAGATAATGATCGGAAAGAAGAAAGGTATCCAGGGGCATTACAATTCTTGTTACTTAGACTCGACCTTATTCTGGTGAGTTTAAAACGAATGCAGTAGGTATAGCTAGTGCCATGGGGCAGGGACACCTGTGTGTGTGTGTGTGTGTGTGTGTGTGTGTGTGAGAGAGAAAGCAACTGCTAACTACCTCCGAATAGAGAAACTGAGTGGCTGGGGATTGTCTGGGAAGGAAAGCGATTTGCGTTTCATTATATACTCCTTGGAACGTATTGAATGTTGTCTCATGTGCCTATATCCAAAAATTTAATATAGAAAAGTAGTGAATGACGAGTGAGAGGTGAATGACAGCATTACAAGTGAAACAGATATTCTGAGGGTATCTGGGAAATCATATAACAGAAGAGAATAAGTACAGTATCTTCGTGGACATATCAAATAACATGATTTGCAATAAGCCCTCGGTTGGTGTGTGTTTGTTTTACTGGATAGAGGCAATCATAGAATTACTTTATTTTAAAGAATTATTTCAGTGGAAGCACAGTTGCTCTCGTATATATAATTTATTCCAAAGTGGAACAACTTAACATGGCAAGAAGTTTTACACTCTGAAGTTTGAACCAAGTACATTGCCAGTTAAAATGAGTGTAACCTGCCAGCCCTGTACAGCCATGTCATAAGAATGAGGAAGTTAATGGGATGTTAAAATTTTAAAAGTAGGGAGAAGAAAAAATTGGTGAGCCTTTTTTCTTTTTTGGCAGAATATACTTTCAGTCTCTCAGATGTGTTGACAAAAACAAGCCTTACAAAATTGATGTCATATTCTTTAGAGTTCCTGATAAAAATCTCTATTAGCCAAGTTTTCTTTTTCTTTAATACCAGCAAGTTACCACTGGTAGTCACTCACAAGTGATTTTGGCATTTAAAGAAATCGAGCTCTCCGCAAAGGGGCGTGGGGAGAGAGAAGTACACACCTCCAGTGGTCCTGGCTTGGGTGTATGTTTGCCTTGGGAGGTGTTCCCAAACGTCCTCCTCGGCTGTCTGTGGTAGTTTGACTCAGATTTGTAGGCCCTCTTTCAACTTTTGTGCAGAAGTTTTCTTGTATACTCTACGCAGGTTTTTATCCTGTGGCTTGCCTTCTCGATATTAGTATTCTCCTTGACCTGGAAGGACCTCTAGGCCCTGATGATTGAACTCTAGGAACCTTAATAGGGGTCTTGGGTACCTGTGTTAATGAAAATCACTAATTTGTATGTTATTTTTCTCCAGACTTTGCATTTTTTCTCTTCACATTCTTTTTAGTATTTGTTTCTCAAAAAAATATGTTTGTAACATGAGGAAAAATATCCTTATTTTGCAGCTTGTTTGCTTTTAGTTCTGTTCTGGACACTGTGTTACTTAGACCCAAAGAAAAGAATGATGTAGAATATTACAGTGAAACTCAAGAGCTGCTGAGGACAGAAATTGTCAACCCTCTGAGAATGTAAGTGGAAGATACATAGTTATTCTGCCTTTGGATGTTGTCCTATTTGCTTTTTTTTGGTACAGTAATAATTGATACCTTGCTTTCATTTAGTAAGAAATGGGTGAAAATTAGTTCTCTTGATTAAGTATTAACAATTTTTTTAGCCTTTTGGTCTTTGTACTGTCTTAGCTTATTTAATTTATTAAATCTGGCCAAGGTGTAGCACATAGTGTATGCCATGAAATGATTACAACATTTGGTAGACGTATACTACCATTTAGCAATTGCAATAGGTTTAGGAAAGCTGATGTGAGGTACTTGGGATTCTTATCTTCGGAAATAGTTTATTCCAATAGCACCCCTAACAGTCATCATGTTTATTAGTCCAGTTGGTACTGGCTTCTTAAACAGAATTTTTTCAGAAAGAAAAGGAGCAAGGGGAGTTTTATTTATAGAATAGCTAGTATTTAATCCTTTTGTGTTAGAAACAGATGAGATGTATTTTATTAACATATTTTTTGGTTAAAGGAATATATTTAGGCCTCCCTCCACCTTCCTTACACAGGTGATGTTTTGGTCATTTCCTAGTTTAAGAATTATAAATATCTTTCTTTGGCCACAGGAGGCAATTTGTAATGGTATAATCATAAGGGACAAGACAGCTAGTAAAGATTTTTGATAAGTGATAGTAGTTATGGTATGATAATGTCACACTATAAAATTTAAGTTCTGAAGAGTAGGGCGATAGACCATAACACAAATCTGTTCATTCAGGAATACAGAGAAAAAATTACGTAATTTAAAGTCCATATTCAGATGAATTTAAATTTTGTGACATACTTTTCTCATTTAACAATTAAAATTTAAAAATAGTTTGATATAAGATTTTGACCAAAAAATGCAGAATACTTGAACTGTAGCGGGCATTCAGAATGACCTAATATAACATGACCTGGAAAGTAAATTTTAAGGGAATAAACTTTCCCACTTCTATCTTTTATTTTCCTTAAATTCTGAAAATGATGAAAACGACTGTAGTTTTTACCCTTTAAGATAATTATGAGTCTTGATTTTTACTTCAACTATTTTGTCTTATGCAAATTTTTAAACTTATTGTCTATTTCCCCCCAAATAATTGATGTTAGAACAAGACAAATCAAATCCAAAACTCTCAGACGTGTTGCCACTTCCTTCTTTGTCTCCCAAATACCATAAGTCTGTTAATGAACATTATTTGGATACTATTGTCCAACTGTGTTGGACAGTACTGTGTCCTGTATTCAGACAAAAATGAGAGAAAGTATCATAATTATGATTGGTTTGATTGCATATTTTAGATTTTCAGTTTCTTAGCAATGCTTTTTCCATTCCTCTTGGTGGCTGTTTTATCCTTTAGAATTAAAAAGACTCTGTCAAAATTGTATATTCTCTTTATAAAGTAAATGCTTTAATTTCTTAAGGAAATAATATTAAAAAACCAGTCATCATAAATTTAAAATATTTTTTCTTGTATTAATATGTGACAGTTATTTTTATGGTATAATAATGTGTCTGGGATAATTCTGATTTTAGATTTTTAATTTTTCAAACCTCAAGAAGAAACCTATAATTGTATTTTTCAAAATAATTGTCTAGCCTATTGATTTATGACATGTTGGAGTTATAGAAGAAATGTGTGATTATAGAAATATGTTATATTAATTAAATATATATGCCAGTATTAATTAATTAATAGTTTTTTACTAACGTAGATATGGATATGTGTGTGCAACAAAGATTATGAAATTGAGGAAAATACTTGAAAAAGTTGAGGCTGCATCAGGATTTACCTCTGAAGAAAAAGGTGACTGTCTTAATTTATAGGATATGCATTAAAGATAACTTGAAAGCATATGCTAAATTACTGGCTGAAATGTGTGTCTGTGTAGTTTTAGGGGTTTTATTTTAAATTAGAAATTTCTTTCTATATGACGTACAATTTTCTCCCCTTTCTGTAAATGTTTTCTCTCTTCTAAAAGTGATGATGTGGAATAATAAATTCCTTTAAAAAGCTGGCTGGTTCCTGTATATTGGATGAATACGTAAGGGGTTCTTTCCTGTCCGTCTGGCAGTGATATTCGGAATTGTTTCCGTTTCCGGGGTGAAGGGTGGCATTGAGTCATCTGCATCTTCCCACTTAGCTTCCCTTGCTGTAAAGGGAGTCACAAAAGAGCTGGCTTACCTTTCAGAGGCAGTGTTTTATCTAGTCATTGCTGATGGGTTATTTACTCAGAGAGTCAACTCCTGACTTTGGATGTGTTAGCAGCATAGTGTATCTAGCTATAATGTTTAGAGACTTGATAATTATTTAAATAGCAGGAAAAAACAAGGTCATACTTCAGGTTTTATTCCACTTATCTTAAACCTCTCAAGAATTTAAAATTATTTCACTATATGTGAATTATTATACCCTTTCAAATGCAATGTTATAACAAAATTGGAACATAATACTTTATCATAACTTTTAAGTATCATTTGTATTTTCATTAGGAAAACTTGAGAGCTATGATTTTAATTGAAATAATATTGATCATGAAATTGAATTCAGTATAGGAATATGACTGTTATAAATAAAAAATGAAGGATTTGAAAATTTTATCTGTGGCTTTATGATTTTCTGTTTTTTCCTAGATCCTGAAGAATTCTTGAATATCCTGTTTCATCATATTTTAAGGGTAGAACCATTGTTAAAAATAAGGTAACTTTTAAATTGTTACAGAAGTCTTGGAAAAATAGTCATTATCTCCACATCCATCATTCAGTAGAAACGATCTCCTTAGTGATTACTTAATATCGTATTTGCTTAGGGATCTTAATACGTTAGGTTCCTACACTGCAAATTAATTTAATTTGTTAAACTAAATTGGATTTGTTCTTCTTAGTATCATACTTAACTTGAAAAACGAATCCAATGTAAACTTGTGCTTTTAATTTTAACCATAGTAATGACTGCTATTGCAAATCATTTTATTGTAAAACTTTATGTAAATTTTTAATTTAAATTCATGAACCCTTTAAGAGAATCTTATTCTAACCTAATCAAACACCGTGACAACACTAATTTTGACTACCTAGCACTCAAAGAATTAATTACCTTAATTAACTCCCGTGTTCCCAGTTTTGTAACTTGGTCTTTTCTCCTCCCTGAGGCTGAATGAAAGCCTTGAATCTAATGCAGTAAAGTTCTTGGTGAGATGTTTTAATGGGTGAACTTTCCAGCTAGTTTAATTTTCACAGTTTAAATGCTGCGAAGGCTTCTAGGTTTACATTTCAGTCTAGGTTTCTCTCTTGGGAATCTTGCTAATATCCTATTTACTTCCCTAAAAGCTAACCACAGACAAGTGCTCTTACTCATCTCTGTTTTAAGTGATGTCCTTTGATGCCAGTGTCGAATTGGTGGATGAGAAGAAGGAGCGGTAGATAATACCACCGTTATAATTTGATATTGTTTTGGAAGTTTTAATGAGTGAAATATGACATGATATGTAAACATCAAGAATAGATATTTATTATCTATTCAAAGATGGTAATAGCCACATGTACACCTAGAAAGTCCTAGAAAATTGTTTTGAAATTGCTAGAATTAAAAGAATTTTTAATTTGGCCATATAGAAATTAACCATAGAAATTAATATCATTTCTGTATATCTTCTACCAAATATAGAAAAGGGATAATTTTATACTTCATGAAAGTATAAAATGTCAAGAGGTCAATTTAATAAAATTTAAAAAACTTGTTGAGAGCTAAAAATGATTTGATTAATTAGTGAGAAAGATTGTGTTCCAGGTAGGAATATTAAATAACTTAAATATATTAATTTTTTACATAATTTGCACATAAGCAAGATCTTAACCTTTTTTTGGAATTCAGTAAAGTGATTTTAAAGTTCTCTACAAGATGAAATAGGTGAAAATATTGAAGTTTTTAAAAAGAGTTCTATTATAAGCTATAAAGGCAAAGCAGTAGACATTAAAACAGTGTGATACTGGTATAAAATTAGAAATATGGATCAATAGAACTGAATAGAAAGCTCAGAAATAGAATTGACTGTATGTAGTATTTCAGGGTAAGTCAGCCTTCAAACACAAATGGGGACAGAAAGATATATGTTTAATACTTGATGTAGGGAATCTAGTAGTCAATTTGGAGAAAAAAAGGCCTTTTGGTTTTCATTTTGAAGAGATAAATTCCAGATGATTAAAACAGTTGTCATTCTTTTTTTTCCAAGCCCACCACACCATAGGGATGTAATCCACCCCCAGTAGTAACATAGGATGAGTACTGCAGTGGTTCCCACAGGGGTGGGGACGGCTCAGATACATCTGGGAACACGTCTCAGTGTCTGGAGGTCTTGTCGAGTTTGGAGGAGGCCCTGGGAAGTTCTGGCACCCCCTGAGAGGTGCACTGCCTCCCCTCACCCTTCAGCAGCCTCTTCATACTGAGAATCACTGGCTTCAAGATTATAAAAAGACACTTTGAAAGTTAGCCTTTTGTGTGTGTGTCATTCTTCCCCTCCACAGACCTTTCTTTTTGACTGAGGGAGAGTCAGCTGATGCAACAAGTAGGAACATGAGTACCTGAAAAATCTGAAATAGGAAAACGGTCTAAAAGAGACTATAAAATATTCTTAAATGATTGAAGAGACAAAAGGACTTAGATGCCTATGGAGGATAAATGCAGATTGGGTAACAAAGAAAATCAAATAAACAAAAATAGAATTCCCAGAAATAGAATAAAAAATATATCTCCATATGTATAATATATGGATGGGAGGGTACAGGTACCTCACTGGATGCAGTATGCACAACTGAAGAGAGAATTGCTCATTTGGAAGACAGGTCTAAAGAAAGTATCCAGAATTTAGCCCAAAGGAATAAAGAATTGGAATATAAGGGAAGATAAGAGACATGGAAGATAGATTCTAATTATAGTTTTGGAAGGAGACATTAAAGAGAGTAGGGAAATAAGTAATATTTTGAGAGATAATAGCTGATATTTTTCAGAATTTTTGACAGACTTAAATTCTAAGAATAAAGATGCACACAATTCCTGAGCAGGAGGAACCAGGACTGAATTACCACTCAGAGACTTATTACAGGATATACTTTAGTAAGACAGAACTGAATTTAGAATAAAGGAGTTATATGCAAGAAATAAGGGAAAATCAAGATATTGGTAAATGTGGGTAAATTAAGCCTTCATATTTAAAAAACAGTAACAATGAAGGTAATAGTAATAATAATGACTAATCATGTGTGAAGTGTGAAAGATAAGATGAAACTGAAGTCATAGTCACTAACGAGAGGGTAGTGAACAGAGGCAAAGCGTTCCACGAAAAATGATGGGATAAAATCAGCAATCGAGGAGCACAGGCATGGGGCAATCTTCAAACTGTGCTACTGAGGACCTCTCCTTGTAGAACATGGTCTGGGTGTTCTTATTACACAGATGTGTTATATTCCATAGTGCTAGATAACCCAGAATCTGTAGCGAATTTTAGTGGCCGCCCATTATGGTCTGTGTTATGAAAGTAGATAAACCAATATTGTACAAATACATGAACGTTTTTATCTTTTCTGTAGATGTTTGTTTTTTCCTAAAGTAATGCAACATTTGTACCCTTCTCTTAGATTTTCTTAGTGGCAAATGGCAATCTAAATTGTACAGTTTTGGACAACAGCACCAACTTTGTTGAGATTCTTGTATATGTGTGTCTTAGTGAGCAGCTAATTCCTCTAGGGTTTTAGGCTTCGGAAGCTTTAGTGATGGGGTTTGAGTGGTGGTTGTCCGCCCAGCCTCCCAGTTCTTCTGCCGCAGTATCACAAAGCCATTTGTCTCACATCCTCACTTCTGGCTCTCAGTGTGCGCCACTGGGTGCTCCCTTCAATCACCATCCCCTCCTCCGTCACCCTTATTATTTCTAATCATTGCAACTATTGACCTCTACTACTTTCTGCTTTCTTAGTTTCTGTTTTTTTTTTTGGTGTTACCTACTAATTTTTTTCATGCTTTTGGCTTTCATAGAAAAATGCTGGCCTTATATAGTATCAACAACCAATTAAAATATTGATATGGCATAACCTTCAGGTTTCTTCTTTATAATTTGTTTTTATTTGTTGTGGGTTCTCAAGAATGTCCTACTTTATCACCAGACAAGTTTTGTTTATTTAAGGGTATAAGTTCCTTTGGGAAGCTGAGGGTTTCTGAAGGTTGGACTCTGAGTAGCTGAGGTTTTATTATGAAAACTAAAATGTCTTGAAATCTAGCTATAAATAGTCTGATTCTATACCCAAAAATTCTGCTAAAAGGGTAAATAGTAAACTTAAAGATCACTAATCCTTTTGGTAGAGTTAGTCTTAAAAATAATGGCATTCTATAGTTAAATATTTAGATGGGAAAGTGTTCAATAACACCGTGATTGGCATAAGTAGGCGCTCACTTGGTCTTTGTGGAATAAACGAGTGGCCATCTAAAGAGGCAGCTTTCATGGAAAGACTCGTAAGTGGTTGTTAGGACGCGCTCTGCCTTGAGATGCTGGGAAGTGATTCTTCTTCCCGAGATCTGAGGGCCTTCATTTAGAACTGAAAAGTTTGGCCTGAAGGTCTCTAAGGGCCTGTCCACTCAGGCATAGAAGAATTTATTGTCCCATTTCAAGCATTACGTGCAGTTTGCTGCTCTCTAGATTTGGACAGTTAAGTTGAACCAAGTGATTTTAACTTCTGGTTATTACTGTTCACACAGTGCTGCCTGATTGTGGGTGTTACTCCATTATTTTTTTTGCTGATCACTAAGGGAACTTTTCAGTATGAAAACTAAAATAAGAAATCATTTTTAAGGTCTTATGCGCAAGTATGTTTAGTTATTGAATCTAAATTATTTTCTTTCTCCTGTTGCTCTGACTATCCAAAGTTGCACCATCAACTTCATAGCTTTTCTGTTCTCAAATACTGCTGGTACAACTTCATGTTTTGATTTAAGCATTTCATAAATAAATTATATGTGTTTTTTCCTGCATATTTTTAGATCAGCAGGTCAAAAAGTACAAGATTGTTACTTCTATCAAATTTTTATGGAAAAAAATGAGAAAGTTGGAGTTCCTACAATTCAGCAGTTGTTAGAATGGTCTTTTATCAACAGTAACCTGAAATTTGCAGAGGTTAGTGATAATTATATTTTTTATGAAAGTCCTTAGTATTCTTAAGACTACTCTTAAGATAACTATTAAGACTACTCAGTAACTGTTAATTTTATTGCACTGGGAACAGTTAGAAACAAACTGTTAACAAAACACAAATTTAAAAAATAGAGTGTTTTAGCTGTGTCCTTAGAGAAAATGACTTAGAATTAAGCTTGAATCTTTTGGATTTTTGATGCCAAAGAAAATAGCAAGCTGGTTGGTATCTTGAAAATTTTAAATTAGTATTCAAAGCAAAAGGAAAGGATTTTTCTTTTACTGTTTACTGAGTGTCTTCATGATCTTAGTAGTACATGCCTGTGGTTTGTTTTTATTGTATTCATTTTTGAAGGAATGTTGCAGTAAAACCCTAAGAGCCACAGTTATTTATTTACTGAAATTTCAGGAATAGTGTTGTTCACACTATTGACAGTTTCTTATACTTGCACACACAGTTTTTTCAAAACCTTTGTTAAATATAAGCCCAAAGTAGACTGTCACTCTGGATCGCTGTCGTCTCATTAGAGGCCCACGGCTGTGGACCTGCTGCGCCTCTGGGTGTTTGTATGTCCATGGGTTTGGAATGTTTGAAGACTGGTGGGTTTTGGAGCCCGGCCTCCACACTCCACTTTCACGTGTGGGTCCTGTCGTACAGGCCATCAAGGTTGTGGTGAAACCACTGCTTGGTCTGACAGCCACACCTGTTTCAGTTTTATTGGGAAAAATTTTTTCAGCACATTGTTTCTAAAAATATATATATATTTTTTTAGGCACCATCATGTCTGATTATTCAGATGCCTCGATTTGGAAAAGACTTTAAACTATTTAAAAAAATTTTTCCTTCTCTGGAATTAAATATAACGGATTTACTTGAAGATAGTAAGTATAAGATTTTTTAGTTTGTTTTGTTCGTTTTTCCAAAATAGTCTGTCAGGTCATTCTCATTAATTGTCAGAGTCCAACAGGATCCAAGTCTTCTAAAAGGCAATTCAGTAACTGAGGAGCCTGGAAATATTAAGCTAATACTTTCAGTTCTAGGAATTTATTCTGAGAAAATAATCAGACATGCAAATAAATATTTGGTATGTAAATATGTTTATTGTTACATGACTAAGAAATTAGAAACAATCTATGTATTAAAAGAAGAGAGTAGTTAAATGAATTATGACGTAGTTGTACAACAAAACTGCTGCCATTAAAGCTCATGTTTTTGAAGACCAGTGTGTGTGGAAGCAGTCATGATGTAACAGTGAGTGAAAAGGTGTGTTGATGCTCTCTACACAAGGAGCTGCACACAATGTGGACACACACACAGAGTTCTGTAAATATGCAGATATAAAATTACTGGAGAAAATTCACGATAGTATTGACAGTGGTTATCTCTTGCTAACTGAAAGTGTAGATGCTTTCAGTTTTCTTCTTTATACTTTCTTGTGTCTTGGAGTTTTCATCAATAGACATTATTTCATTGGGAGGAAATACTCTTGAGTCTATTATTTTACAAAATTGTCATTTGGTCAGAGAAAATGTCTTTAAAGATATCCTGAATCCAACATAAAGTTTATGGAGATGGGAAGGGGTAGACTTCTTTGAGTCCATGAACATTATCTTTTTTAAAGCTTGACTTTTCTCTTGAATGTTTTTAATGAAAGAATGGGTCTTTGAAAGGCCCCTAACCACCCTCCGCTCCCACCGTTTAGCCCCCAGGCAGTGCCGCATCTGTGGAGGGCTCGCCATGTACGAGTGTAGAGAGTGCTACGATGATCCTGACATCTCTGCTGGAAAAATCAAGCAGTTTTGTAAAACCTGCAACACTCAAGTAAGTTTGACTTTGTTGGATGGTTGTTCTTTTAGTAAAAAGTCAATTATTTTTGGTTGAAAACAGATTTAAGATTTTGAAAGGCTGTCAAAATCATAATTAAGTTTAAAAAATTCGTAATTAAGTGATATTGTTTATGCGTCTTCTGTTCACTTAGACTTCTCTGAAGTACTTGGTATTTACAGGGATGTATTCAGCTAGACTGAGTGGAGGCGGTTCACTTGAAACATGGAGTTTGGCTCATTAATGGCATTATCTTCATGTTCCATTTTAGGTCCACCTTCATCCCAAGAGACTGAATCACCAGTATAACCCGGTGTCACTTCCCAAAGATCTGCCCGACTGGGACTGGAGACACGGCTGCATCCCCTGCCAGAAGATGGAGTTATTTGCTGTCCTCTGCATAGAAACGAGCCACTATGTTGCGTTCGTGAAGTACGGGAAAGACGACTCTGCCTGGCTCTTCTTCGACAGCATGGCCGACCGGGATGGTATTTAGAAACCTTTCTTCTCTACGCTGCGCCGTTTGCGTTTGTCGTGGGACAGTTCGTAGCGGGGTGGCCTGTTCTGAGTCATCAAGTAGGTTGTGTGAAAAGCCCTTCAGGAATATCTTGGTGACACAGTCTTAAATCTAGAAGTGCAAACAGCCCTGCTACCAAACTGAGGAGTAATAGTGTTGTGGTATGTTGACATGCGTATGTATGGTCTTTGCTAAAAAAAAATCCTAAAATTCATATTTTAGGGCTGAGCGGTTTTATTTTGGGCTTTAGCTTCTGTTCCTTTCAGGCTCCTCTCATTTTCTGTACAAGCCGTAGCGGCTGTTTACTGAGTGCTTACATGCCAAGCTCTCTGGGAAGTACATTAAGTCGTTAGACCTAAACCCTTACTCGGGGAATTATTCCTGGTTTCCTGTTACTAAAGCTGAGGTTTCAGGTGCCTGAGGTCACGTAGCCTGTGTTTAGTTCAGTCTTCCGGACTTCAGTGCTCATGTTTTTATACTAAACCATGTTGTCTTCCAAACGATAAAGCTAAGAATAGAAGTAAATATCTTCTTTGGTAAAATAAACTATTCTGTGTGTAATCCTTCCTGAGATGGGGAATATACTGAAGCTTCTGGGGCATTTTCTAGGATGCTTAGACATTATTTAACACATACCTGATGAGTGCGTGTGAGGTGCTGGGGCTCTCCTAGGTCTCGGGAATGAAACGGTTGTCAAACAGCCCGCCCCTGCCTGTCCGGAGGTGCAGATGAGGACCAGCCCTGGGCAGGGGTGCAAGGTGTGACTTCACATTCCTGCCTTCTTCTCATGGCCCGGTTTTTCTTTCAGCCACTCTCTCAAGCTCCAGTCTCCTAAGGACACCCCCTTGTGGCAGCCTCTTGACCAGAGGCCCAAGCTCTTCACCAAGTGTTCTCAACATTTTCTCGGCTCCCAGACACTTGAGGGACACAGCACAGCCCCGTCTGTAGACGTGTCCCTACCTCACTGAGCATTTGCCTCAGACAGGGGGCCTCCAAAGCATAGGGGTTGCAGATGTTTGGGAAAGCTGTTAGGAGGCTACACCAGAACAGCCTTTCCTGGGCTCCCGAAAACCGCCCCGCACCATCTTCGTTCAGTCTAATGATAAGTAAAACAAAACCTGCACAAGTTGCACAGATACATTTTTAAAACTGAGGGAAGTGAAATAGTGTTCATTTTACTAGATGTGCTCTGAACTGGACAGTCTCATGGTGGAGTGTGTGGGGCGCTTGCTTCTGGGCTGGGCTGTGGGAATGTGGGGAGCTGAATGTTGTGTGCATCTGTTTGTGTAACATTATTCCCTAATTGGATACGGAGAGAAGCCTGCAAAGTAGGTTTTGGACTTTGCTAAGGATATGTGTGCTTTTACCAATTTTGTTCACTATTGGTCCCAGAATTCTTTCAGAAATCAGAAAATGAGAAAACGGTTAAAAAGAGGCTCAAGTAAAATAAGGTCTTTCACATCCTCAAAAGTAGCCTTCACTGGGTTATAGAATTGTGGATTGCTGTGGTGGGGGCTTAGAACTGTACGCTGCCCTGAGTACAGCTCTTCCTCTTCTCCGTAGGTGGGCAGAATGGCTTCAACATTCCTCAAGTGACCCCATGCCCAGAAGTAGGAGAGTACTTGAAAATGTCCCTGGAAGACCTGCACTCCTTGGACTCCAGAAGAATCCAAGGCTGTGCGCGAAGACTTCTTTGTGATGCGTACATGTGCATGTACCAGAGTCCGACAATGAGTTTGTACAAATAAACCGGGTCGTCTGGGCAGGCGCAGAAGCCGCACGCCGAATTCTACTGCTGCGTTTTCCCCGAGCTGGGGGTTCTGGTCACCGTCCATTGCCGGCAATGGACATCTTGGTGGTGATGATCCTTGGGCAAAAGATTCCTGTGTTTAAAGACAAATCGCTTCTGTGTTACTGAAGTATTTAATAAGAAGCATTTTGCACTCTAGAAAGTATGTTTGTGTTGGTTTTTTAAGGAGTCTAAATGAAGTTATTAATACCCGAAGCTTTAAGTTAAGCGCATTGATCATATAGATATTTTTGGAAGCATAAAGTTTTAATTGTGACAGTTTAAAACCTCTTTTAGTCCATTGAGAATGTAAATAAATGTGTATTCTTTATGGACCAAGGATATGAAGTCATTTTTCCTTTGTAGCTAACAGTTGCCTTGAGGAAGAAATATTTTGGTTTTAGAGTCTACTTTCAATCCAGTTATTAAAGTTGTACTGAGTTTGATTTGTTAATTCTTTCCTATCTATTGCTGATTCCTGCATGGCTGTAGTCTGCTGAGTTTGTATGTTTCTGCAGTAGTGGTCAGAAAAGTACTTACATTCTCTTAATGATGTTGTTTTCTATTTGTTTTGGTTTTGAGATAAATGAGTGATTTTGTCATAAAAACCTCCATTTTTGGTGTAACCTTCCTGGGGGATTAGAGTGTACAGCAACTGAAACTCTTCTTTCATAGCAGTAACTGTCAGCTAATGGTTTTTTTAAATTTTATTTTAAAGCTCTCTATGTTGTAGAGATGGGCACGGTAAATTTTATTAAAGGAGTGGGGTTATAAATATGATATATTCCTACTCAAATATATGGTCCATAAGAAAGTAAATTTGGCATATAGAATTACTCATTAAAATGTCCCTGAAGAGGTGTGTTGGACATCTGAACCGCTACTATTTTAAATAAAACTGTCCAGAATTGATGTTCGGTCAGTCAGTCAGTCAGTCAGTCCCCTGACTAAATTCGGTTTGATTTCACTTGAGATAATGACAGTTATGAATCTGTTATGAATCTGATATTGTACTGCAGTGTTAGCAGCAGCTTAATCGTCCTTCTGGTTAAATAAGTAGAAAATGGGTGTTTCCTTCGCTAATGTTGGTAGTGTGCGTCTAGATCACAAGCGGCTGTTTAGACGAGGACCGCAGACTGTAAGTGTCAGTGCTGTGCACCGTGTATTCTCTGAGTGTTGTTTTGTGGTATCGTCTCTTTGGAATGACTTCTTCACCATGCAGAAAGACAGGAAAGTTGTCATATGTATATAGCATATGACTTCATAAAACATTTAATTTTTTAAAAATGGAAAGAATCTTTACAAACCCTGCGTTACATTTTTTAAGGTACGTTTACCCTTTGGTTCTACCATTCCATTTTGCAATATTTATTAGCTTTATAAATCATAATGTAGAAAAGTTATTTCATCTTGTATTTTTTTCATTTGTGAAATGAAAAAGTGCATACATTTTGCATGAGGTTTTGCTAAATGCTTGGGTGGGGTGGTGAGCAGGATAGATCAGGGTTGGGGGTGAGGAGCCCTGGGCTGTAGGGCTGGCCCTGCCTCACTCGCCCTCGGGGAAACGAGGGGCGCGGGATGCAGGATGTCTGAGGGCTCTTCTAGTCTCGCCATCTGCAGGTCCAGTCACCCCTTCATAAATATGGGCGAATGAGTAAACGGATCAACGAGCTTATCAGTGTGATTTTAAGAGATTATCTGGAGGGATGATTAGGGATCTGTGTCTAGGAAGGCTGGAATTAACAGTTAAAAGAAAAAAGAAGAGAAGACAGTTCCTCTTCTGTAAAGATTAGAACAAAGTTCAAGCTGAGGAAGGTCCGTCCTGCTGGCTGCTTGTGGCCGCCCTTGAAGAAAATGGGTTCACGTGCACGCACGGCTTCGCTGCGGTGTGGGGGCTCGCATGGAGAGGGGCCCCATCCATACATTATTTCTAAGGACGTTTTCTTCAGGAGAGCTTTAGTGTCACCTGGAGAGGGAGTTCTCAGTAAGGGGTGCCAGGCCAGCTGGGGGCGGGGAGTTCCTGTGGAGGCCTGGCTCCTTCCCCTGGCCCTCGGGGTCCTTCTGGCAGGCCCTCCTTGTCCCTGCTCCAGCACAGCTCTGTGTGTCAAGTGGGCACAGACAGGGCTGGGCTGTGTGGCACCAGTGGCCCATGTGCCAGTTGAATATTTTTAACCTTAAATTTTCTTTACTATTTTCCTGTGAGCTTTTTAAATGTTTTGGTTATCCTTTTTTCCATGTCATATCTACAATCAAGATGGCAATATGGTAGAATTATCTTATTTATAACATGGTTCATGATTCATAGCTACAAGTAGAAAATATAACAAGTCGTGTTCCCCCGCCTCCAAACGAATGCACATACGGAAGTGTGTGTGTGTGTGAATATGTAGATATGGGGGAGGGGAGGGGGAGAGAGAGAGAGGAGTCGCCATGTTGTAGCACAGATGCTGCGTGTTTTGTCGCTCACTATCAGCTTTATAAAGGAGGTGACTCCACCCACAAAAGAATGTTTTATAAGACTGGGGAAACACATTGAAAACCAAGAGAAATGTAACAGAACTCAAAAAAATATAGTTGTTACAATTGCTAAGGATTATCTCCTTAGAATAGCTTAGGATTTTTATAATTCATATTTGCCAGACCTTCTAGGTAAATGGCTTCTTTCTATCCCTTGGATTCATTTATCTTTTCATTAGGTCATATAATTTAGGAACAAGCGGAAGACATGGCAATTAATCGTATGGAACCTGTATTGTCATTGAAATTCCTGTTGTCTGAACCTGGCAGCTTTATAAATCCAGGAGTTACTACCCCTCTCAGGTGGATCTCGATATCCAGCTAGACAATTCTGCATCTGCTTGGAGGACTGTAGACAGAGATGTGAGCAGCGAATACAGTATTAGGCCTTAGATGAGTGACTGCCAGCCAGCAAGTATTTATTAGACATTTATCACCCGGAATTGTGTAAGGAGGAATTTGAGACATGGTCCGTGCCCTCGAATAGCTTGCCACCTACTTCTAACGACAGAATGTCTACTAATGGCTGCTTGGCTGAAGTGTCATGGGGCCAGGGCCGGGGACAGCTGTGGGAGGCGTGTGGCGTGACACAGGAGACCTGGGTCTGGTGGTCTGACAGCCTTTGATGACATCCTGACGTGTTAGGACCTCTGTCCTCCTCTGTATAACAAGGGGGTTGGAACATCAAATTTTATAGGGAAAAAAATGAAAATTTCTGGGTCCCAGGCCATGCCTGCTGGGTCTGCCTCTTCGTGGACGGGGCCTAGGGGACGTGTTAGTGCAAAGCTCCGCCAGGTCAGCCCGATGCTCAGCCAGGTCTGAAAACCACTGACTGAAGTACAAGACCCCCAAACTGTCTTTCTTTATGTAACTGTGTGATCATATAGTGTTATGGTATTAATTACTCTGCATAAACGGGGGTAATTGGATGTTTATCAAACTGTTTATCTGTGTTGACGTATGAATTTATGTAAGAAATGCATTTCAGTGTATATACCTCAGCATGCTGTTTCTTAGAGATGTTAGCATTCTTTGGAACACATACAAGTCTTAAGAGGACACTTGATGTTATTCACCCGGACATTGACCTTCCATTTTATTTCTTCAGGGGAAATTGAGGCCCTGAGAACCAAAGAAATGGGAAAACAAAATTGTCATGCAAAGTTAAAGAAAAAACTTCAGTTATTTCTTACTACCTGCTACTTTATGATGAAAATTTTAACGTTATATGAGAAGATTCTCTGCCGGGGTAATAGGTCCTCTTATAAAGTAAAAAGACCTTGTTAAAGTAGGACTGTAAGGCTTATAGTTAAAAGTAAGACCACCTTCTCTAGGGGTTGATGGTGTTAGCAACACACCCAGGACCCTCCTTCAGTGAAAATAGTACTTGAATTCCCCAAGGCAAGTGGGGGCGTGGAGGAGGAGAGCACGTTCAAATGGGAACCAGTGCGCAGAAGGGGCGAAGGGAGAAGGGCAGCTCCCCGAAAACGTGTGCCTGGGGCTCTGAAGGCAGGGGTGTCTGTGTCTCAGGGGGTCGTGTCACTTGTCAGAGACTAGGATTTTAGAGGGAGAGGCTGCCTGCGGGGAGCTAGCATTGGACTTGTCGATTTACCTCGAAGATGCTTTTTTGGAGGAAAAAGAAAAAAAAGACTCCCGTATTTTAAATCCTGGAGCAGCTGAAGGCCCTCTCGAGTCAGAAAGCAGTGGTGAAAGCTAGCCAGCAGATACGGCCAAGGGTGCCGACGCGGCGGGAAGGAAAGACGGCCCCCCTCCCGGCCGGCCGCTGGAGTCGGCGCTCAGGAGCCTCTGTCTTCACAGGCAGTGGTGCCATTTTGCTGCGCGGCGTTCGAAAGGTCCTGCCTGCAGGTCAGGAAAGGCCGTGGCGGCAGGATCGGCCTTCCCAGCCCCGCAGCCTCCGATGTGAGTCTCCCGCACTTGTAGACACCGTCCACTTCCGCTTTTTATTTTTTCTAGAGAGATTGTTGGAGACTCAGCTGTCCTTGGTTTTATTCCCTAAAATAAATGGCCTATGGTACTGTGGAATTTTAGCTCCAGAAAGTCTTAGCATCCTGTCATAAACATTCATTTTTTAAAAAAATTCTCATTTGAAACTTCCTAGGGAAGTTGTGGTTATTAGTAAATGAGTATAGAGGAGCACATTTTGTACTGTATTTCCCAGGTCTGGTATCTTGTTCAAGATTTTTTTAAAGTTTTTGCCTGATGAGCATCCTATATTTATGAAGACATTCTTTAAAAATAGCATCATATGAAACATCCCTTTACTGTCAGATCGCTCTGATTTAGCCTTAATTTTGTTAAATTTTTTAGAGATGAATGAAGTGCTGCTGTGGAAAGAAATGTACTATATACTATTTCTCTATCATTAAAATTAAATTTTTATGGTTCCTTTTCCTTGATTTCTTTGGGGAGGGGTTTTGGGTTATGGGCAAACTGGAATGGAGAACAATTTCTTAAATTTTGCAGTGGTGCCAGGAAAGAAGGTTCCTTTAGGAAAATGCTGGACCTGGACACACCTGTTTCTTTGTCGAGCCTGTGCCATCGTTATGATTGTTTTAGAAAACCTCAGACTTTGCTTGTTCTGGGAGATGTGCCAGTGGTCTTGGGGTTGCCTCCTGGCCTCGTGACTCTGTGTAGCTTCTGAAGTAACTTGGCATCTCTGAGCTCTTATCCTAGCTAAAGCTCAGCTCTTCCAGTCTGTAAGCAACTCCAACCAGAAATTGTTCCTCCTGTGCTTCATGTCATCATCTCTACACATGAGCTCAAAGCTATTTACTATGGAATAGTGTGTCCTGCTATCCCACAGCTGCCGGGGAGGCAATTCAATGCTTTACTTTTCTGTATAATGCAGAAGAATGATTATGGGCTTTATGGAAAAGTTTTATACTCTCTCTCTCTTTTTTTTTTTTTTGCTGAGGAAGATTCGCCCTGAGCTAACATCTGTGCCAACTTCCTCTATTTTGTATGTGAGTTGCCACCTCAGCATGGCTGCCGACGAGTGGTGGACCAAACCCAGGCCGCTGAAGTGGAGCACGCCAAACTAAACCAAACAGGCCACAGGGCCGGCCCCTAAAAGTTTTGCTTTTATCTTCTTTTGGGTAACTGATATAACAAGTCTTCCACAGGAGTTACTTGGCGTTTCAGTCACTTCTTATGCCAAAGTAGGAAAGCTAGAATGGTCTGTGTTGGTAATATTAGTACTAATAGCACATTCAAGAACTTTCCTGTTTCAAAAATCCGTAGTGGGATGAACACATGGGTGAAAAAGAAACCATGTCATGTTAGCACCACTCCGACTTTCCTTCCGTCAGACTCAAGGGTTTGCACACTTTTTCATAAACCCCATTCTTGCTGACTCTGGGGGCATATTAGTGTGACCGTTACAGTAGACAAGTGTCAGAGGAGAGCTAAGCTGGCAGAGGAACCCCTGGCCCAGCTCTAAGCCTCTCTTCCTGGGGCCTGGCTCGTGCTCTTGTCCTGACTCACTGAGGCACGTTGTCCATCATGAAAACCTGAAGAATGCATGTGCCGCCTGGAAGAGGTGTCCTTGGTGGTGGCTGGACGTTGACTTCCCATGTGGAGACTGTCAAGAGCCTGAAGCCTGTGCCCGCCCACTCCTGTCAGAAGCTCTGCCACGGGGCCAGGTGCTTGGAATCCACAAAGCTCGGGATGTTAGTCCAACATGCAGCCGGGAGTGGGAGCCACTTGTCAGGAGGGGTGGGGCTTTTTGAGGGCGACATGGTCTACTTGTGGTTCCTGGTGGAACTTCCTGCTCGGGTAAAAGACAGAGGATTGTGGACTTGGACAAGCTCCAAGAGGAAGTAGAAAATCTGTCGGGCTCGTGGCCCAGACTCTTGAGGAGGAGCCTTGAAAATGCACGTTGGACATGATCCGGAGGCAGGAGGAGGCGTTTGGAAGCAGGAAGAATTTCTCCTTCTGAAGGGACTTGAATGAAGACTTCCTTAAAGAGCTGTGATGAAGGTGCTATGTTCTTTATTCAGGAAATATTCCAAAGTGTGTATAAACTTAGATGTTGTAAAAAAGAACCAGCACCAGGTCGATGAGGTAAGGAGCAAGAGAGCCCTCGCGGAAGGACTCGGTGTTCCGGGCAGCCTTCACCCTGCACTGTGGCGGGTCGGGTCTGTGAGAGCTGCCCGTTCCGCAGGGCTGTTTGCAGTGCTGCATTTTATTGGAGAGGGGGAGTATTTTCTGAGGTCTAATTAATCAGGTGAGCGAAGACTGAACTGGACATCATGAAAACAGAGTAATTCATCAGTGACCATCACAAAAAGCACAACCGAAATTTGCACATTTTGTCCACTACTTTGGCCTTGCCCATTTTCTAGGAGTTTATGAAAACTCTTAAATTTCATGCTTCAAATAGTCACTTTACAAATAACACCCAGGTATGTTTTACATTTGCCTTTTCCAAAGTAGTTCGAGGTTGCGCTCGGGTTTAAAGAGCTGGAGTGGGAGTTGACTTTGCCGGTGACGCCTTCCTGAGCCCCTCTCCTCCATCCCTCGCACTGCGTGAGACCTTGAATGGGACCTCTGAGGTCTGACTTTGGGGGTTCCATTTGGTGGCAGGCGGGGTCTCACCAGCCTGTGGAATAGACGAGGTCAGGCCTTGGGCCCCGAGGCTTGGCTTCTCAGCCGTGCATTCTAAACGGCTAGTGAGAGGCGCGCTGCTCCGTGGCGGGTGGCCTGGTAGAGTGATGTGTTGGGATCTATTTTAAACACATGCGCATTTTGCTCTTTCTGGCCACCTCTGCAAACTTGAGGCTCTTTTGTTCAGGTGTTTCACTGTGCCCTGCAGGTCGCCCAGTGGGTGCAGTGGGCAGCTGCCGGAGGGACCGACCCCCTGCGGTTTCAGCTTTCTGCTAGAGCTCACCTCCTCAAAGAGGCCTTCGCAGACCACCTTAGCCAGTGACGTGCCCGCTAATGTTTAACCACCCGCTCTCCAGGGTCCGAAACAGCCCTGATCCATAGCCTTTGCTGATTTTGTGGTGTAAATACTCTAACCATGGCCAGTTGCAAGCTACCAGTATGACGTCCCTGAGGGTGGAGTGAGAAGAGACGCAGGCAGGATCAGCACAGGAGTATCAGAGACGATGGAGATAAACACCGGGCAGAGGCCAGGGGTCGGCACATTATGGCCGAGAACCACACCCAGCCCACTGCCTGTTTCTGTAAATAGCATTTTATTGGAACAGTCATGTCCATTCATACCGCACATCTATGGCTGCTTTTGCGCTACAACGGTGGAGTTGAGCAGCTGCGACAGAAGCTGTATGACCTGCACAGCCTAAAATCTTTACCATCTGGTCCTTTACAGAAAAGGTTTGCTTACCCCTGGCATAGATAATTGCAAAATGTTCAATAATTAGGAAATGATGAGTTTTGAGTATTTATTACCTTTGTTTTAAATGTAACATTTAATTATAGTTAATTATAACTTTTAAATATAACATTTACTTGTAAATTTATATAGTTTAACTTTAAAAATGGGTGTATTTAAGAACTGACTCACAAAATTCCAGAAAAGTTAACAATTGGCTCTTGCGAGCCGGTGGGAGCCAGCTCCAGTTGCCCACTGACATCGTCATACACCTGCCGGCACGTTTTGGCCCCGGTTCTCTTCATTTTCTGCACAGCACCTCCCCCCAGGCCTGATGACTCCTTGTGCTTTCTTTGCACTAGATGCAGGGACTTCCTCTGGGTCCTTCAATTATCTCTCCTTAGTGCCTTGAACAGTGCCTGGCACAAGGTAGATGCTCAAATATTTGCTGAATGAAGAAGGAACTTTCAGCCTTTTATGCTCAGAAGCCACCCATTCACTATTGTTGATGTGGCCAGAATTAGAGCATTGTCCCCATTTCTTTTGAGAAAGCACAAGAGGTCCCAGCCTCTTGGTTCCCACATAATGCTTCCTCTCAGAAGTGGAGACCTCGTCGAACTTCCTTTACACGGCTTTATGAGCTCGAAATGAAACCACATTTGCAAAGTGCTTATCACAGCCTGGCACTCAGCAACCCCTCAACAAATGGTAGCCTCTAGGAGAGCGGCAGCAGTGGTGGTGTTATAATCATGAATTAGAAGGACAGGTTGCAAGCTCGATCAACATGTCTGTTTCCACCTCTCTTTCCCCCGCACAGTCTTATTTTCAGGTCATACTCTGAAGTCTTTAAACTGCTTTGAAAGATTTAGATTTCTTAAGCATCCTGTCGCTCTGGAGCAGCAGCGCCATCTTGTGGTCATAATAGGAAATGGCACTGTCCTAGATCTTAACTTCCAACTAGCTACCAGCAGACAGTTCCCAGGGTTGGGAAGCAGCAGGTGATTTTTGAAACAAATGCAGCAATTAGTCAGGGCTACACCCTGGATTACAAATCACACACAGGAGGGTTTAAGCTCCCTCTACATCGTTTCAGCAGATTAGTGGTGGACATTTCTGCTTGTGATTGTCCTTTCACTGTCTCTGTCTTGCCCTTTCTCTGTCTCTCCACCTCTTGAGCTTTCAGCCTTTTACAAATGGTATTTAAGAAGAGTTAGTGCCACCTACTGGGCAAATGCTGTAAGGTCCGATGTGAGGTCTCAGGGATCTATGGAGGAATGAAGTACAGATCTTTAGCTTTATGGGAAGAAAGTAAGCAAGTGATAGGATCCCGATGTCAGGCCCCTTAATTGGTGCGCATTTCTCCCTTTATTAGAAACATTCTTGTGGGGAAATGAGGTGTGGAGAAGACTGTCAGTGTGAGCCTAATATCTACTGTAAAACTTGTTAGGGTCTCAGTATGAAAATCAACAACATTCTCATGAATGACCACCTGCATCTGAGTCATCGGAGGTTTTAAGAATGCAGGCTCAGCGGCCCCGCACAAAACCAACAGGATCAAACTCTGAGAGTGGGGCCCTGGAATCTGCATTTTGAACACCTCTCCTTCTCCCCCTACCAAGTGTATCTTACTCACACTGAAGTTTGAAAACCACTGCCCTAGACCCTGCCACTGTGGAAAAGACTTTTTTCTTTCAGCAAAATCCAGAAAGAATTTGCGTTTGGATTGAGGCTTGCATAAACCGCGTTTTGTGCATGTAAGAGCAGGAATCATAGTTCCCACCTTCACTCATTTTGGGGTGGGGATTAAGTGATGACGGATCCAGAGCCCTTGGACCAAGCTCTGGCACGTGGCAGGAGCCCACATTGATTGCCGCTGCTGCTGCTGCGAGCCACGTCTCCCCCACCCACTGCTCCCACTCTGGCTCTGCAGGGAGCAGTCCACACCCCCATTCCGAGGCTTGGCCTGCCCGTCGCCTGCTCCTCCTGAGGGGGGCTCGCTTTAAAGAGGGCATGATCTATATGGGAAAGACTCCAGAGCTGGAGGTCACCA